CCGGCCTTAAGTTAAAGTGAAATTATAACTTCAAATTATTTACTTGTTGCTTCTAATCTTTAAACTTTCTGCTTTTATAATGAAAACACCTAGTTATTATTCCCGAGCCTTTTCAACTTATCAAGGCGAGAGTGAATAGGCATTAGACATTTACAGGGCAGGTAATTTATCATCCTCCAAGACCATCCTAGACTTCACAGGTACGATTGCAGTCAAATGCAATGCCCTGTTATGCATAAAAGAGAATACTGAATTTGTTTTGGTCTTTGATTTGAGATTGGCTTTGTCTGGCTTTATTATGTAAAGTTGAACTATATAGTTCTACTTGTTAGATTTCGTTGCGGATCCAAAGATAGTTAGCAACCTTCTTTCAGGGTTTCAGTAACTCGAAATACGAGCATTAATGGTCTTGGAATAGTATTGAACGTGTCATCATTATGATGTATAGCGGCCGCCCGCGACTTCGTACGCGTGGACCCCGTTTTACCCTTAGGGGTGAAGTTTCGAGTTTTTTAGGGTTTACCCGGAAATTATTCAAACTTTTCTCGCTGTAAAAACCATCCTTGGACTTCAACAAACATTTAAAAAAAAGAATTGGTAAAATTGGTCCAGGCGTTGTTGAGTTATGCGCTTACCAACACATTTTGCGATTCATTTTTATATTATAGATTTAGGTAGGTACTTACTCGTAGGTCATCCTAAGTGCACATCAAAACATGCACATATTAAAATGAGCCTGCCCTTACAATAAACAACACTATATGATTTTAATAATAATTCATTTGAATAATCGAAGTCAAATCCGGTTATATCCAGCTCCATAGCACGTGCTGCTGTAAATATGAATAATGCAACATGGAGGAGGACTTTATGGTGATGTAATTAAACGATTTATAGACTGTAATTAATTATAATAAATTGTCATTATGAAAGAGAAACGATAATATGACTCTACTTCCCAAATAATTTCAAATAACCTTTGCCGAAACTGAAAAGTAACAAAATAAAAGTCATATCGTAAATAGTGATTAGAAAACCTAGATCATCAAATATTTTACACATTGTTATGACTCGACCAACCTAAACTAGAACTATCATCATCATTACTCATTTCAGCCACAAGGCGTCCACTGCTGAACATAGGCCTCCCCCAATGATTGCCTAGAAACTAAAACTAATATCAATAGAATTAATGCCTGAATTCCATTGAAATGATGTTTTCCTAGACTCCTGTTAGGTTTTTAGATAAGTATCTACTTACCTAGCTACTACCTATCTAGGTACAGGTTTTCCTTCAAGAGAGAGCGACGAAACTTTGCATAATATAGCAAAGTTTCTAGGAACTAGGCTAAGTGGCATACATTAGGGGAGGCCTATGTCCAACAGTGAACTAATCATGGATGTAAAACATTTCCCAAGTTTTCCCATCCATCACATGTGTGAGTAGAGCCTTCCACCCTGACAGCCAATCGATTATTTTGCCGAAGTGAACTACAGTAAAAACAAATGCAGTGGGTGCGGATGATGCATACTTACATATTTATGAACTACCCACTCTACGATATAAGCTAATAGGTGCCTTGGACAATAACAATTAATTTTATTTTCCTCAATAAAGTAGGTTTTACGTTAAATCGTGTTGGTTGGAATCACGTGAAAAGAGGTGTGGGACGCATATAAATAAGTAAATATTATCAAGAAATCTAGTAGTGGTAGTTAGGTACATATACCTATTAATTAATACTCGACTTGTGTATTTACAATTTTTCTAATAAGTTTAATTAAGCTTAAAAGTCACTTATTTTTGCCATAATAGGCAAAGCTTCTGTGTCAGCCTGTGTTGTGGAAAACTTGGGTTTGGTAAAAGGTTTATTCATAAAACTTGCCAGTGATTTCTTGTTTACACAAAATACACGTGCTGAAGGTTAAGATACACAACTTGGAAACGTTTTATCTCACCTTCAGTGAATTACAAGATTATAATTAATTGAAAAAATGTAAGATATTAAAATCATTTTATTAATCCAATTATCACAAATAATAAATAATACCTATACTTACTCGTAAACTTCAACATAATGGAACCAAAATGGGGTCGACCGAAAGATGACTAGCATTTAAGTTATTCGAATAGGATCAATTATGCTTTAGTGGATTTCATTATTAATTAACTAGATTAGATTGTATTGGATTATACAAAAAATAATAGTACATTTAGTTAAACTTATGTCAGTTTGGAGCCAAAATGGTGTCGATTGTAGAGAAAGTCTTCAATAGCTATCAAGTTAAAGGTTGAATACTATTGAAAAGAGTTGGCAAACAATCGAGCTGCGGCCCGTATCAGGTACTTAGGTGCGGTGCGTGTGAGCGACAGGGGGACTCGCGGATTGATCGCGATACCGCTAAATAAAGATTTCCGCGCCGACATCCGCGCGGGGGCCGGTCCCACGTGCGCGCGCGCAGATAAACCGTGTTATTGCATTAAAATGTCGTTCAAATCGTGTAAAAATCACAAAAAATAGCAGATATATTTGTTGTTGAACGATTGAGAGACAGAAGGATGTTGCTAGGTTAATCTTAAGTTTTCTCCAGCTATCCATCTACTCTACGACTAGGCTCAATGAGCTACGCTATAAATCTATTTGGACGTCTTCCTCATCCTCATTCTTAGTCGGTGTGATACAGGATAGAATAAGTGAAAAGACTCTATGGAATGGGTGGTCATTGTCCCTTTTAACAACAGTAGAGCAGCGGCAGCAAAGATGGTCCCGAAAATTGTTTTTAAAGAAATATAAGGAGGGTATTGTATTTATTTATGAATCGCATTGTAAATAAACAAGGCCACGTGTTATCAATTGTTAGGCTACAAGAGAAAACCGATTTATCGCTATTACAAAGGCAATTAAGTACAAAACAAAGCCAAGGTTATGTATATCCGTAGGTACGGATCATAGGTATGATAAAGCCATCAAAATCATGTGTCTTTTATTACAAACAAACATTTCATCGTCTATAGTGCACATGAATACACCATACTCATGCCTGAAAATGTATAAATGACCAAAAAATACCTAGATTTGCCTTTCCTAGGAAACGACCCCGTATCTGGCCAACAACCAGCAAATAAGCCATTCTGATTGAACTTGAACAATATTTATGTTTTCTAAATGTTTGTAAATAACATAATAAAACAAGGATTAAGAAAATCGATACGGTTTAGTGACATTTTGTATGGAAAATCCTGGAAAAGCGTATACAAATAAATATAAAGATATCATTTAAATTAGTCATATTCTAACGGTTACTGGATTAGCAAAACTGTGATTAACGTTACGATCACTCAACGATAAAATGTAGTAATTTTAGCACGGGATTGTATTTTATGAGTAGTTAAATTAAACATCCAATTTAAATGACCCGCCAATGTTGCGTTCAAAGAATTGTTAAAGATTTGCACGTGGTTAATCGACCACAATAGTTTATTGTAGGGTGACTACATTTTATAGCAAATATAATAAAACTGTTGATTGCTTCAAATAATAAGTTTTTTTAAAATCTTATTAATGTAAGACATAATATTTAAATTGACTTCCAATGTATTTAAACTAAGTATTACCTACATTAAAGCTTATTTTCATGGTATTATTTTATAAAAAAACTACACAAAAAATGTTTTTAGGTTTTCTACTTTCTATACTCGGCCTCGCAGTCAAAAAATCTGAAAGTTTTAGGACTCATACATCTAGGAGCTGCTATTACTTACTGCCAAAACAACTTGCTTGCTATTGCTAAACAACCCGTATCATATGGCTCAAACTTTTAAAGAATAGATGAAGCCTGTGATTGGTCTAATTATGGAAGTTCGTCCAACACAAGCATGAATTTAAATTTAATAATCTTCGTTTTATAACATTTACTAAGCTTGTGTTCCACACATTTTGATGAAATAACGTATGCCTTAACAAAGCACCTGCTAGACTAATTTGTCCTAAAGAATGCGTATCGTATAGTCGCTCTACTCTCGTCTCGTGCTTGCCAAGAGCCGGGCGAGTACTAATATTACTCGGCGAGACGCCGGCAGTGTCCTGATTTTGCATTGTTTTCTTTTTATCGCATATTTTAATCGATCATGAAGGCCGAGCGATGCCTTAGTTAAATTACTGTAAATAGAATTATTAATAGACGTAAAAGTTTTGAACTTAACCTTGTGTGTTCAAGAGTTACTTGGTGATCTGTGAAATGTGAATGTTTTAAGTTTTACATTAAAGATAAAACGTTTATAAGTAAGTAAAATAAATAAATAAATCTTTGGACAATTTCACACAGCGCCAGCTAGCCCCAAAGTAAGCAACTTAATGCTTGTGTTATGGGTGCTAGCTTAACGGATATACTACTTGTATACTTTTTTTTTTAAATACATAAATATTATACATAGTCACACCCAGACCCGTCACAGAAATTAAAATTCATCATTTCAATTTCTGCCCGGCCGGGAATCGAACCCAGGACCTCTCGGCATAGTAGTCCGTTCTGAACCACTACAACCAAACGACCGACAAAGTGCTGCTAAATAATTACAAGACAATAATAAATTACAGTGTTAGTTGGCATTAATAAATCAAGCAGGTATGCATATTAATCAGCATAAACATGCAAATGTGTATTTTGACTGTAGAGTCATTGACTGGACTGGATTGTAGAATCCATAGCTAGTAATTTTACTATTAATAAATGTGCAAAATAAAAATAAATATTTCTCAAGTGTTTTGAAATTATTTTTGTTAAAATGGTAATGTCTACAGTTTCATTTAACGGCTCTAGCACACAACAATAAAAAAACTAAATACATATCTAATTTATTTTTACGTTCTACATGTCCTACTAATCTAGCCATAGCCATATCGCCATCAATAAAATCAATAACATCAAGATCTGCAATGTGTAATCAGTATTGTCTTTACTTATTTATATCATTAAACATTTCCTTTCATTTGTTTCAGACCCCTAAACCTTCAAAATGCCGCTGCGGCTTTCAAGAAACGGGTGTTCGGTGTTCGTTCGGGAGAACCTGCTCACTCTCCTGACCATCATCGGGGTAGTTTCCGGGACTCTCCTGGGATGGGGCCTGAGGGTCTCCGGCTACGAGTGGACCAGGAGAGAGGTCGTGTACTTCCAGTACCCGGGAGAACTGTTCCTGAGGATGCTGAAATGCCTGATCGTCCCTCTACTGGTCTCCTCCATCGTGTCCGCTATTGGGTCCTTGGATCTCAGTCTTTCTGGCAAGTGAGTCTGGTTTCGTTGTATAGGATATTATAAAATAAGACCCAAAAATGGCCCGTGACTACAAGGCTAAAGAAATCTACACTTATTAAGTTGAGAAACTACCTAAAAATTTACATCGTTCATTCATTTCGATGTAATTTATGTTAATTCCTGAATTGTAATAGGTTGAGTTGAATTTTACGCTGAAAGATGAAATTCAGCAATAATTTTAAGTGTCCTTAGAAACAATAATGGATCTTTGAAATGTAGCTCTTTTGTTACAATTTTTGCTTATTAATATATTTTGTTTCAAGAGGGCTTTGCATTTCGTAGGTTTCGTAGCATAGTTGCTACGAATTCGTAGTAATTTCATAAGTTGTTTTTATTTTGATATTATATCTACATAAGTTTATCTTTCTCTATTATTAAAAACATGCATTCCGTCTGATTGTTATTGCGAGTAGACCTATAAATAAATTCATGGAGATATTTTTTTACATTTCCATGTTGGTTTCGTACTAAAAGTTGTTGTATAAGCACCAAAATTATCTTTCTGATAGTAAAAGTCTTTACTCTTTGTATGTTCTAAACGTGGTCTCTTTGGTCCCCAGAGTGGGTCTGCGTGCTATCATCTATTACATGACGACGACGGTCTGCGCCGTGATGCTCGGCATCGCGCTGGTCACCACCATCAAGCCTGGCAAAGACCCCGAGGCCTACCAGCAGCCCAACGCCACCAAGGTCATCACTAAGGAAACTCTCACTTCGGACACCTTGCTGGATTTGATAAGGTCAGTCTATAAATTGCTTACCCTTCTACGTAGTGCGACTACTAGTTGCTGGAGTTAATGGGACTATTCTCACCTCTCGTTCCCATCGCTGCAACTACTTACATAGGAGCTTCTGGCTACAGCCAGGATCTATAGCTTGACCGCCAATAAAAACCCAATCAGTGAAGGTCAAGTTTGTTCCGGGAGTAAGTTAAACCATCATTGGACCCGTAACGATTCATCAGAAGAACATAGGAGAAGTTCGAAGTTAAGGTTCGACTTCCCTCCATTGCAAAGCGTAGTTGCTGGAGTCAACAAAGTATTTGCTTATCTACCTAGCCACATACCTAGTTGCTGACTGTATGCTTGCTTCCATTCCTGGAGTTAGACCACATTAGCCAAACTGTTTGGGCATCGGACCGACTGCCAAATCGAGAGTTGCTAGTTCTATCCCCGTTGTACCCACTCCAGACAAGATCAAATTACTTAGGTAAAAACATTGAGCCAGCATACCTTTTACCCACCACGACTAGAATAATATATCATTTACGTACATATAAGGCACAAACTATCAAACATAAAACAGAAGTTTGGAAGAATATAGAGTGCTTCAATGTAAATTAAATTGTTCAATGACGCATTCCAACATTGTCAATTCAATGTAGTCCCATTTCCATAATCCACCGTATTCATTGTTGTGCATATCCGAGCTCATTGCCTTAATACACTTAATGGGTGTTGGATGGCGCTTTAATTTCGCCATCCGGCTACCTCCAAACTGGTGCATCATCCAGGGATCAGATGTCAGCGTTTGGAAACTTCCATCTGTGGAACTAATTCAACTGGAACTGCGATCCAGTTTGAAATTGTATGACTACGCGACTCTATTTATTTGTTGGAATTTTTTATTTGTTTGCTGCCTCATGACCTTTTTATCTCTCACTCTCTCACATAACCTTTCCCTGCTGGGAAAGGTTATGTGAGAGCCCAACAGGTCAGAAGGATAAGGCATACCCACTAAACCCCTGGGGGTGCGAATGAAGAGCACTGGTGCTCTTCATTCGCCTTAAGGAGGAGCTGTGGAGTTCCGTACAAAGCCTTCACTACGACAGTTCAGTAAAATAAATATTTAAAGGTAACTTTTAGAGTTATGTAAAAGACTATCGNTTACTCAATTAAAAATTTAAATTTAAAAAATTAACACTTCTAATATGGTAGGTATGGCTGGCGGCATACATTTAGTATGAAATTCGGAAACATTGAATTTTCGCAGAAATCCACTTTATTCTTTGACCTATTTATTGTTATTGTTTTAAAGAGCTCATGATGCACTTACAGGAACAGTAAACAGTTTCTCGATATCTTGTATAATTAAAAATCAAGTGAAATCACTTATCGTTTCCACCCTGCACCTATACTTTTAAAAATAAACTCACTTTATACGTTCATTTGTATAAGTGTCAAGCAAGTCCCTACACTGATTTAATGATTGCATTTTGAAGTACATGAGTTTATTTCCATAAGATAAAAGATTTTTTGTGAGATCAAGAGAAGGTGACAGATACCAAAGAAATCTCTTCTGTACCCATTCTATTCGTAAGGCATGAACTGTGTTGGACAATTATTGGAATTTGCATTCTATACTTAGCACAGGATATCCGTAACCGTAACTGAAACTTTCGGATAACCGAAATAAAAAAATATCCGTAACCTTAACCGAAACCGGTATAATATTATTCCAATATCCGTAACCGTATCCATAACCGAAACTACATATCCATAACATCCCTAGTACAAACCTGGTGTATTCCACAAACTTATCGCTCATTACTGCGCTAACGCGAGCGGTTACGTGCATAAGTCGCGCTGACAGGCCGTGAATCACCGCGGGCGTCAATAGTGCGGCGCTAAGCCCGCGCACCTGCGGCCGCCGGGATTTGCGAGCCCGCCACTTAACACCACACAACACAGGAGAAGGGACGCGGGATAAAAATTTTACACCACAGCTTATCAAAGTGAACAGTGAACACTTTATAACATCTTGTCATGAAAGGTGTAATTTTGCAACAAAGTGTAATAGGTATGTGCTAGCACCAGTATTTCCCCGTTAATAACCTGCTGATAAGAATGAAATTGTTATTTTTACTTTATAAGAACAAAGTAAAAATTTTAATTACAAAAAGCGCATATCTTGCATAAAACCGACTCCTAAAAAGCAATCTCTGTTAAAAACAATGGCACCTCCAGAAAACTCGTTGCGGTGGAGTCGAAAGCGCGCAATTTAAAAGCCAAATAAGCGCCGTATCACCGCGTTTTTCTTAAAAGAGTAGCGGCTCAAACTACGTTAAAATGATTTAACTCCCCCTTGATAGCGCCACGGGCCGGGCGCTATTATTGAGATCGCCGGCCGAGCCCGCCGGCCTAATAAATGCTTATCAACGCCCTCATTATCACACCCTTAACATCGCTTTAATGTCTTGCTCTTGAACAAAACATATTTAATCACATTTTTTCCCTTCGCGCAAAACTTTTTAAATTTCATAAATTTGTAGCGCCGGAAAATCTTGGGAATCAGCTCAGTGCCGCAGTCGAGTGGAGGGATGAATGGTTTTAAAGCACTTTACTTTTTTACTTTTTCAACATTCATGTCCTTAATAGCTAATTTAGATAATTTGGGTTGTTTGGGTCGTACCAATAGACTTTTAGCATTTGTAAACAAGATAATATGAAAAAAATTGGATGCCTGGATGGAACACAAAGAGTAAACTTAAGAGAAAGTAAACTACTTACCTACTTATTATCAGTGACTATTCGTTCATTAGTGATCTTAAGATTATTGGATACGTACGTTAATAGGTGCATAGAAAATTGGGTGACAGTTGTAATTCGCATTACAACCTACTTCATGGATTGCACTTTTATTACAAAGCAATCAGAAGCCTCAACAATAAAAAGTGACGTTACAGCATGATGCGTAATAAACCAAGATTGTTGACTCTATATCATGGTAAAGAACGTATCGATGACCGATGTCCCTACTTCAAAACACGGGAGCGCCCCGGGTAGAGCCGCGGAGCTGGCACAATCCCCGCGAATGATCTTTTAAGCCCGACTTTACGGCTGCTTCGCGACACTAAATTATAATATAACACATCGTAAATTTCTGGAACTATCCGCAGTGACGGGCCCGACTTAAGAACCTCGCCGTCGAACGTTAATAACGCGAGATTTTCCAACAATCACCTTCGAAGCTAGGTTATTATTTGTATTTCACAGCTTCACGCGTTTTGTTCATACATGCAGTATCAGCTGTGTTGAAATAGGCACACCTATAGAATATTAAATTTTACGAGAAAATTGTTTATTATAACTAACTATACTATATGAATTATGGTAACTTTCCGCGATAATTGCTGCTTAGCATCAATTACACACTCAAATGCTAGTGTTCTCTTTAGTGAAGATAAAAATAATTATAAACAGGCTTAACTCAAAAAAATGAAAGCATATCATAAATACTGTGTCCCAGGTGTACCGCTTGTTTGGTCTAGGATTTGTCGAGTGATCTTTAGAGCGTGTCTCTCCCCCGTATTTAAACTCGAAATGAAGAGCCAGCGAGCAAACAGTATCGCTGCCGGGGAAAAAAATAAAAGGGTGTCGAAGCCAAGTATGCTACTCGTTACTGTAATATGAAACGGCGAAAGAACCGAATTGAATATTAAATGAAATAATTTATGCCATATTTATCATTTTGCAAATGAACGGTCTCACCTTAATGAAAACGTTGAATCTATTTTTTGCTTCACAAGGTTTCTAATCTTTAAATTTCTTTACTTGAAATTTTTACGCTGGTTGTAGAGTTTTGCGAAATGTTGTAAGGGTCTCTCGCTATCTCCGTATTTGGACAGTAAAATATTATTTGTGTGCACATTAGCGGACAGAGGTCACTGTAAATCCGTGTCTGACGTCCACAAGACAACCAAAACCTCCGTCAAAGTCCCGTATTATTATCATACCATCTCTGCCCTCCCACTGAAAACATTTTGAAATGGTTTTGTGTAGTTTTGAAAATTGATACACATATTTTGTGAGAGTAGATTGGTAGATTGCACATGGACAAAAAATCGCTTTTTTTTTAATCAATTTTCCCGTGTTATTGATAAGCTTGGATGTCTAGTCTAATCATATATTATCCTATGTCCTATATCGTGTTAAACACGCGTTACCAGAGGAAATGTAACTTAATATGTACACTAATTAATTATAGTAGTATCATATCCCATAATCTAAATATAAATAATACATCTATTACTGTACCAAGACTTTAAAACCGATTCCAAATTAGGTACACATTTTATTAATCCTTCGTAAAAATTTTAACTTAAAAATTAACCCGCGATGATTATAAAAATAAAACTCGCGTTTTACCTAAGCACGCTAGATTTACGTGGCAAAATAAAACAGACAGGTACGAGGTGGTGGGTGGGACAGGGGATCTTCGTTAAGGTTTAATTAAATCGTCCTCAGCGGCCTCTCGCGTTTTAATTCCACCGTTATTAACGCTGTTAAAAACTGAGCAGCTCACCCAGAGAGATGCGTAGAGTCGCAAATACTAAATTCACAATAAAATCAGTGGCCTAATTCACTTATTTTGAAACAGTAAAAACAGTCCTAATTCCAACACGTATAACTACGTGTTTGTCTTATTGATTGTTCTAATAAATAAAAAAAACTTGAGCTTGTAAAGTTTTATTGTAGCATCGTAGCGTCGACTCCACTTAAGAAAAGCTACGAATGTAAAGTTTTCAGCGTAGTGCGGAGGTACTCACATTTTAAAGCATTTGTAACATTGCATCGTAGCGTCGACTCCGTAGCGTAGAGCGGAGGTACTCACATTTTGCATTCGTAGCATCGACTCCACTTAAGAAAAGCTACGAATGTAAAGTTTTGAGCATAGTACGGAGGGTACTCACATTTTAAAGCATTTGTAGCATCGTACCGTCGACTCCACTTAAGAAAAGCTACGAATGTAAAGTTTTCAGCGTAGTGCGGAGGTACTCACATTTTAAAGCATTTGTAGCATTGCATCGCTGCATCGTAGTGTCGACTCCGTAGCGTAGTGCGGAGGTAACTTACTCACATTTTGCATTCGTAGCATCGACTCCACTTAAGAAAAGCTACGAATTCAAAGTTTTAAGCGTAGTGCAGAGGTACTCACATTTTGAATTCGTAGCATCGTAGCGTCGACTCCACTCCATCCGTCCGGGCGCGGGCAAGTGGCCGCAGCGCTTCCGCGGCGGAACACTCGCGATAAGGCCGCCTTAGCCGCCGCCACCCGTCGCCGACTGTTTGGATTTTAATATCACACTTAAGTGTTGTTCCAAAGACTTTGTCGACTAAGTACTAATTTGTCCGAACTCGGGACAATTGAGCCGTTCCAAAGTTTCATTAAACATTTAATTTGTGCTTTCGTAAAGAATTATTTTTACTTAATGTTTTAATAAAATACGTCTCAATAGCAACAAAGATGGTGAAAATAATCATCAAAGTTGTGTATTGTACTAACCTGTGCGCTGTGGTTTGCAACATTATACCTACAGTTTTGAACATCAGTTAGAATTCAATCCACATTTGCACATGCATTGAAATGCCTTTGTATCAATCACGTCTCCAATCTACAAAACACACTTTTAGGACGAACATTAATCGTTATACTAGTGTATAACTAGTGTATATCTACTTACTTAAAACTATTACTTACATTAAGTAGGTATACTTTTATGTGAGAGGGTATGATTGATGCAAATTAAAAAAAATATTTATTTGTAGGTGAAAACTACACTAACTGTACTTAACTAAAATCCAAAGCAACACAAAAACAACTCTTTCCATTAAAATTACTACTTACGCATTATAATTAAGGTACCTAAACATGAAACCCGAGGGTAGAAATAGTTTCAATATTGCGCAGCAGGCGGCGGGCGCAGCAAACTGCGATGACGGCGTCATGTGCAGCGAGGTGCGGACCACTGTGGACCAGCAAAGCTCGCCGACCGCAGCTAAATTGCATTGAACGCACTATGCACTAATTAATAGTGGACGCTTACACACGCAAATACAGGGTGTTGATTTCAATCCTCGCTATATTTAGAGAGTTGATATACCTAGCTTATTCTGATCACGAATCAGTAAAAAAATTAACTTCGAAAAAAATTTAAAACGAACTCTAACTTTAGTTAGTCAAAGAAAAATACTTATTTACACTACCTACTTTACATGGCTTCCTTCAGTAGGCTATCCGACATGAAAGTGAGCGATCCGCGTAGCTCTATTGCGCAGTATATGCGAGCCACGTCAGTACAGTTTATGTCGCAAGGAAACTATTCGCTAAATTCCACTTTCGTTTGTAATTTTTTTTTTGGTAAATCATGTGTTTATGTAAGTTATCAATATCATCAATAGATCACCTAAATAAATATGGCGAGGATTGAAATCAACACTCTGTATTTGTGTTTTAACTATGAATGTACAGACTGGAACACAGATTCGACCACAGTTTTTCACTTAAAAAGATAAACCACTTATTAGACAACTAGCGGCCGTTTAAGTTTACTAAGATGCATGCCAAATTTCAAGCGTCTAACTTCAGCGGTTTAGATTTTTTCATACACATGTTTTTTCCCGCTGACTCCCGTTCCCGTTGGAATTTTGCAATATCCTATTGTAACTAAGCTTTAAGTTTACTAAGATACCTGCATGCCATTTTTCAAGCGTCTAACTAAAGCGGTTTAGATTTTTTCATATAAATGTTTTTTGCCGCTAACTTCCGTTTCCGTGGGAATTTTGCAACATCCTGTTGTAACTCAGCTTTAAGTTTACTAAGATACCTGCACGCCAAATTTTAAGCGTCTAACTTAAGCGGTTTAGTATTTTCACACAAAAGGAATTTCCCGCTAATTCCCGTTCCCGTGGGAATTCCTCAGTATACTATAACCTGCCCAGGAGTATGAAGAATAATCAAAGAATAACCAAGTTTCGTTAAAATCCGTCGAGTAGTTTTTGTTTCTATAAGGAACATACAGACAGACAGACAAAAATTTTACTGATTGTATTTTTGGCATCAGTATCGATCACTAATCATCCCCTGATAGTTACTTTGAAAATATATTTCATGTACAGAATTAACCTCTCTTCAGATTTATTATAAGTATAGATTATGCAGGTACCTAGGTACTTACTTGTTTTGTAGATTTTTCTATTTTTGTGTGAAAATCTTAATGCGGTTCACAAAATAAGTACGTAAATGTATTTTGTGAACCGCAATAAGATTTTCATACAAAAATAGAAAAATAAAAAATAAAATTTGGGGATCCCCATCCCCATATTACTGAAAACTGAAACACAAAAATTTTTTTTTTCATCAAACCCATACTTATGGGTTATTTATGGATAGGTCTCATTTAAGATTTTTTTTAAAGTGAATGTGACATACGGACGGTTAGATAGACAGACAGACAGACATGACGAATCTAATAGGTTCCGTTTTTTGCCATTTGCCTACGAAACCCTAAAAATGGAAGGAATCAAACAAGGACGACAAAGTTTCATCAAAATCCGGTGAAGCAAAAGTTGCATGTTCCATCTAGCGACGAAAATCCAAAGCTCTACCTAACCGAAACTTATGTCTCTACGATCGGCTTATTGTGCTGCCATCTATTACTTACACTACGCTACTAAATGTTTACAATTTATTAGGTTGCAAAACTTGCAAACTCCAAGGACAATCAGAAAATGTCCTTGACAAAATAAAAAATTGGAAGAATAGTTAAGTTCCTCCTTTACAAATAAAAATTGAAAGAATAATTCTTACTACTCGTATTAAAAATTGATTTACTTTAATCTCATAATAATATTGACCCTATAAAACCGGCTAACAAGTTAATGTTTCATTGTTTTTAAACCGCTAAGTAGGTTTAAAAATATTATAGTGTGAATCAGTAAGTAGGTACTTAACACTGAAGTTTAATGTAAGTATGTAGTTACAACAGGCTACTTGAACTAATTTCGCTAATAAATAATACTTACACGCCAGGTACTTAAACATTAAGAATCATGTAATTTGTGTAAAGAACTCCTGTTGTTATAAAGTTATAAGTTATTGCTCTAGAAATTGAAAATGTCAACTTACCATTTGATATTTTATCAATACATTTAAAAATATTGTTCAATACTGTTGTATGTAATTTGGTACTACATTAATAAACGTATATTTACTTTATTTTTAAAAATAAACACTTTTCTATTAGCTGTTGAATCTCATTATAGCCTGACCAGGAACATAAAAACCCTCGCCATGTTGCGGAAAACTAATGGTACTAATTTCTTTTAATGGCAACAGTAACTGAAAACTTCATTGACATGTCACCTTGCATGTCAGTCTATTGCTGTCAAAGTGTAAACAAACTTTATTTTAAATGTGCGCAATTGATTTTGTAAATGAAATTGCTAAAATCTTTTTATAGTCGTGAAAGAAAAGTGGTTCACAATGTGTTAAAGTATTTGTCGAAGAGAAATACCAAGGGTTCGGACAATATTTTCATTGAATAATGTTTCCAACAAAGGTTGTCAAATTGACTGACATGTTTATCGTATAGTATAGTCCACTATGAAAATTAGCTGTGGTTTGTTTCAACTACCTATTTTAAAGTTTTTTGTCACTTTCTAAGTGTTGAATTTTATGGAATTGGGAAAGAAGTACCGAGTTTGAAGCGTTCATGAACAGACATTGCAGTTTAATATTCAAGTTCTGAATTTGATTATTGATGAATAATAAAATCCTACTAGCTCGATTGATGGTTTCATTTAATTTATTTAAACCAGGTTACCTATAATAATATTTTTTCGTTAATTTATGAAAATATTAAATTAGCCCGTAATCCTGATACATAAAGTTAGCCTATTAATTTAACACAGGTACGACTGTACTCAGTGTTGCACTATCAAATGCAATTGAAGCGCCTCTATGCCAGGGTTTTTATGTTCCTGGTCAGGCTATAATTTACCAAAGTGCAACAATATGCACTCTATTATCCCATTGTAGTTCGCGCCATTTGAAACAGATTAGAGAGTATGTCTAAAGAAAATGGCGGCAAGAAGGGCACGTTCCTACTTTTTTTATTTCCACAAAAATTCAAAAAATATTTAATACAACTTTAAAATATTTAACATTTTATGAACTAGTAGAAATACCGAATTCATCTCAAAAATGCTTTTTTATTTTCGAAATTGTACAGTTAAAAATATTTAAATTAAACCATCGCTTTTCATTATAATCTATTCAAAAATGAAGTTTTAATCTATGAAAAAAAAATACAATATTTTGTCTATGGTTAAAAGTTGGAAAATGTCAAGGAATGTCCAATGTTGTCAAAATTGCGTGGTTGATGTAATACTTGCACAGTGAATAAGCGGCACATGCATGATGCAAAATATTCAAATAATCATACTTACTACTTCAGGACATGCAATCAACCATAAACGCAACACTGGTAACATTACTTGTAAGGAACATTGTATTGAATTGGTGCACTGACTTGAAGATTCGTGCAAATGTTTCGTGTATTTATTGAACGTAGTTTGTTGGACTATAAAAGGTCTTCATAGGCCTAAATAGTGATGGCAGGGCCAACATTACCTGAGCGGGTGGCTCAAATCTACTATACCTACGGTCTATTTTGTTCATCGTATCCCTTAGCTGCGATTGGATTCGCTTTATCAGTTGTGTTGCTGTGTTGGTAAGTAACCCCTATTGCATCAATTACTGAAGTAAAAAGGCGAGTTACATAGATTGACGTTGTGATCTTTCCTCAGCTATCCATTATTGAATGTGCCGCTCCCAGGTAACATTCCAACAGTCATTAATTTGCCATGGCACATGGACAACATTCAACATTTACCTCAAGCTGACTGTTCTACCAATGAATGCTCACAAGGTAAATTTAATTTTAAAACTATATTACTTTCTAGCCAAAATGCTCAGCTTTCCTTATTAATAAGAGTATTTGTAGTTGTACTGGCCTATTTTGTTGCTGTTAAGTCTTTGATAAACTTTTTTTAACCAAACTCAACTAAATTTGCATGAGGTTTGATGTTTACAAACCTACATATTTTCATTAGTCTAATTGGAAAATTTAGCACCCAAGAACCTTAACTTAAAATAAGCATCAAAGTTCTATATCTTCGCTATGCGCAGGTCCTTCTATTATGATTTAATGTATATTTATGCTGAGCGCAGGAAGGAACTATAAAAATAAATTTCCGATAATTTTTTAAGGTTAAAAGTACCTTTATTTACTTATCTACTGATAAATCACTCAATTGATCTAAATTACATTAGTTATACTGATGAATATGAATTGCTGCTTTGATTTCACTTTTGATTCGTGTCTTTATTGTATACTACTTGGCTACCCGCGACTTCGTACACGTAGACCCCGTTTTACCTCCTTAGGGGTTGAATTTTTCAAATATCGTAGTAAAAACCATCCTTGGACTTCAACAAACATTAAAAAAAAAGAATTAGTAAAATTGGTCCAGGCATTGTTGAGTTACACGCTCACCATCACATTTTGCGATTCATTTTTATATTATAGATTTAAGCTGCATATGAAGTACTTTAAAAAAACTAATTATATTTTTACAGGTTCACCTATGCAATTAGACGTCTTGCTCAACGAAACCCACAAACTTCCATATTTATGGGCAAAAGATAAACCTCTTATTTACGTGCAACAAATTGTCATGAAAATAGGTAATGTTTAATAAAGCCTATCAAAATAATTATCTAATACAATCAGCGTCAAATTGTTGGTGACACAAAGTAGCCAAATTGTTGACAAAAAACCATATTACAAACAATTGTAACAAAGATGTGTTGTGAAATTTTTGGCCAATGGCCACTTTGAGTGTTATCAAGACTGCACCAAACAGATGTTCCTAGCAATCTGATATGTGAATTAATTTATAAGTAGGTACTGAAAAATGGAGTAAATTGGTGTGATTGAATTAACGTCAATTAGTTTTTATCTTCTTTGACTGCTATGGCCTTTACATTAAAACTTGTTTCTATAAATACCTGTGTTATCTTAATGTGTTGTTTGTAAAAAATTATCAATTTCATGTCTCTATTATTATTATTATTTAGTTGGATTGCAAGGTATTTCTGTCCGGTATATGTTGCCTAAATACTAATCATTTTATTGTTACTGGACCTTATTAGTCTAAAGAGTTAATTTATCAGAATTGAGAATATATGCCTAACAACTTTTTTGTATTATATTTTCCTATAATACTATTACAATAAATTGAGTCTTAACTACTCATTGTAATTATCAGCAGTAGATAAGTAATACTGAAATGAAGTTGATGACACATCTAACTATACACTGGCATTTTATATAGCTTTAATAGGTGCAGTTTATAAGAAAATAGTATGGCATTAGTTATAAAAACTACAATAATTACTCCTCAATCATTTCAGGTGTCTCACCATGGAACAGTAATTTAAAAATGTGGGATGCATTTCGTGCTCCGCTTCAAGAAGTCTTTCGACTGCTTGAGACTATAAGAAATCATGAAGATCCTGAAACGTAAGCAATTTACATAAATAAAATCTATACAAATATGCGAAAGTTTGTGACAGACAGTGGATGAATATTTTACTAGTCTTGAAATGATACTTAAGCTATAGTCATCATGTGTTAAGCACTGTAAATATAAGCAAGTTACCAAACATTTCTATTGTATGTAAATATTAGCCTTGCTATTTTCATTATCTACATGTTTAGAAATAACTGATCGGTAAAGTCTTGTTACTTGTTAGTAAGTCGCTATCAATAAAATCGGCTCTTCATTGATGATATCCACTGTCCTATCACTGAATATCATAAAGTTGTAAGTACATAATGCTTTATTTTTGACTAGTTTCAGTCCATGGCTTTGCTTGTTTGGATTTCGGTTTGAAGAAGTTCCCAGTTTTTTTTTCTGCAAAGTTTCACTGACTTAAAATAATTTCGCATATAGGTCCAGTTGTTCGGCTTTTGCGCTTAGCAACATATTAAAAATTCATTATTATAATATTTATAACACAAAACAAACAAAATTGTTAGCTAAATGTAAATCAAATAACACAATTATGTAAAAAAGCAAAAAGAAAGTAGATGATATAATCATTATGAACTTAGATGTTATTATTACAAATACTCACCAGAGGCATAAATGTAAATCAGCAGTAATATTATCTGGTGCAGGCAATAGTACTACATAATAACTAATATTATAATGGCGAAAGTTTGGATGTGTGGATGTCATGATGTCTGGATGTTTAAAAGTTTCTTTCTGTTCAGCTGGAGTAATGGGAATTATTCTCGAATTCTGGGAACGAGAATAACCTTAAAATTAATTTAAAAACAAAAAATAAAACGCCAAACCCTTACAACGTATAATATCGAATTTAAACTTACCTGTACTCTTTGCGCCCCAACAACGAAATGTGTTTCTAGAGTCACAAAAGTTTAAACAAACGCATCTTTTTATGAGTCTAGCCTCTTAAATTAACAAAAACAAATGTTCTGTTAACATGTCACATTAAACTTAGGAATACAACACCTATTTGGCCTCATATCTGGTTTTTTAGGCTTGGGTCAAATTCCGTGCCGCTGAGTGTAGTTTAAAATATTATAGTATAGCTGTACTTCACCAGATCGTCGGTCCACCTAGTGGGAGGCCTGCCCACGCTACGTCTTCCGGCTCGTGGTCGCCACTCAAGAACTTTCCTGCCCCAGCGGCCATCAGCTCTACGAGCTATGTGCCCCACCCACTGCCACTTGGTTTTAGCGATTTTGCGGGCTATGTCAGTCACTCTGGTTCTCCTACGGATCTCCTCATTTCTGATACCGTGGACCGATGATCTGGTGAAGTTCGCGGAAGGTGCCTGGATGCGAGTCTTTGTAGAAATTCTTGGGGGAGGCATTTGTCCAGCAGTGGACGTCTTTCAACTGAAACGAACGAACGAACGATAGCTGTACTATTTTTAAAGCTGAGTAGCTTGTTTACTTAATTGTTTTTAATGCTATATGTATCTAACTACGTTTCAAAATGTTTAACACACGTATAAGTAGTTGAAAAGATTCACGTCAAAACATAATTATTTTTACTCTTCTTAGTACATACAAACAAAGTGCCAATATGAAAAAATATGCATTTTGCTACTATCTTTCGCGACAATGTTTTGCATCCTACATTGATAATGCAAAACTTAGTGACAAATACATTTAATTCTCCATATAAAATCTTTGATGTATAAATATCAGCACTTAATAGTTGTTTTTATATCGGTTGCGGCCATAGTTCAAGAACTGTCTGTTTTCTTGTAATCTTCCTACCTTGTAATCAGTTTGTCATTATAAAATAGAAATGTTATTTTATTATGAATTTTATTTATGAATTAGTGGCGTCTGGCGTGAAATATTTCGTCTGGTACACAGTCTTATCACTCTTCACACAATCATAATCACTTGATTCCTTACTGACAGTGTTAAGTATACGAGTAAATTTATGGTCACGTAACTTAACAAATGAGGATCACCAAATATTCATCTCCAAATTTCATTATTTCATCAACAAAGACCATTAGTTGATTTTAATCTACCATTCAATACCGTAAAAAAAGTAATTTAAACTGAGATACAAAGATTTTTAGGTCAGGCAAGTGTAGGATTTGGCCTACACCCCATACTGGCCAGGTGGTTCGGGAAGGCCAGTAGTTCTCATATTTCCTTAGTCGCTACCTACGAAATCTTCAGAAAAAGTGTGGCTCCTATACTACTCTGCCAAAACCACGCGGCTTAATATCGTACTTTATAAAAATAACTGTAAAAATGTCCACACAGGAAAAGCACTCTGCTGCAGCACTGCTATCAGATCGAGGGCGTGAAGCGCATCAGCGAAAAGCCTGGGGCAGAGCAAGTGCTGCCTGAATACAGCTGCCTGCTGCTGTCGCCCGCCAATCTGTGGCAGCAGAGCCTGCAGTCCTTCTCGCTCGACGCCAACATCGTCAACACCGTCTACAAGTACCAGGTACAACACGCCAACATAACACTTACTGCTCAAGCAATAAGGCGCGCCTGCTCTCTCGCCCGCCAACCTGTGGCAGCAGAGCCTGCAGTCCTTCTCGCTCGACGCCAACATCGTCAACACCGTCTACAAGTACCAGGTACAACACGCCAACATAACACTTACTGCTCAAGCAATAAGGCGCGCCTGCTCTCTCGCCCGCCAATCTGTGGCAGCAGAGCCTGCAGTCCTTTTCGCTCGCATAGGATTAGTTGGCCGATAGTTGGGTCGGGCTGTTAATCAGTATGGACATGTATGAAAGTGCGCACATTACACCGATTTGATATCGGCCGATTCTTCATACAAATTAAAATCTGGCCCAACTATCGGCCTACTAAAAGTCGGTGCGCCTAGTAGGTCTGCGCCTAGGCTAAAACTATTCTATTGCCCAAAATTGTCAATTTCGCGTGATGACATAATTATAGTTTCCAGCTATTTGGATTTTAAAATTAAACTAGAGAATCCATTTTGATAAAATTGAAATGAAACCAAACCATTGAAATCGTTCCAAAAAACAATTGAATTGCAGAAAGGCAAGCCGCTCGCCGAGATGTCGTTCGGCATGCAGCTGCGCGACACGGGCATCAAGCGGTACCCGCTGCGCGCGCGCCCGAGAGTGCTTCAGTACGCCATCACAATCTTCTACCAGAACCCCGAGCAAAGGTACAATTTATTCTACTACCTTTTATCCACATACTACATTATCACTTACTTGGTTATGAAATACTATTTTTCCAACTTTCAGATTTCTCGATTCACTTTCCAAAAAGTTGAAGGAAATGTACCCTCTTTATCAAGAATCTTACACACATGTGGACGAAGCGAAGATCATATACTATCCAGGCCAGTTCAACTATCGCGAGCTGGTTCCATTGCTGATAACATTCGTCGGAATATTTCTATATGTTTATTTTTCCGTGAGGAAAATTGAATTCATAAAGTCTAAACTGGGACTGGCTGCCAGCGCCGTAGTCACTGTAGCAGGAAGTTTATCGATGTCAATGGGCATTTGTTTTTACTTCGGGTTTTCTTTGAGTCTGCAGGGAAAAGAGATCTTCCCATACCTCGTCATAATAATGGGCCTCGAAAATGTGCTGGTGTTGACAAAAAGCGTCACATCGACAGACTCGCGACTCGACGTCAAAATTCGGCTCGCTCAAGGGCTGAACAAAGAAGGTTGGTCTATTACCAAGAACTTGCTAACCGAAATCACAATTTTCACCGTCAGTTTCTTCACATTCGTGCCATTTATCCAAGAGTTCGCCATATTCATGATAGTGAGTCTGATATCCGACTACTTCGTTCAAATGGTATTCTTCGCTACGGTGCTCGGCATAGACGTGCGGCACATGGAATGCTTGCAAGATCAAAACAACAAGTTGCATCTGAAGGATTATTTCAACGCGAACAACGCGCTGAATTGGCGCTTCAGTAAGAATTACGGCGACGAGAACGTGTCGCCGCAGAAGATGAAGAAGTCGAAGTCGCACCCTCGGCTGAACGGGTTGGCGCAGAACAGCCCGACGGACGTGGTGGCGAAAAGGAACGCGAGTCCGGGACACCAGGATAATCGGGTGCCGAAGCGTATTCGTTTGGTGAATTTGTGGGCGCGGACTCGTTTTTTCCAGAGGGCGTTTATGTTGTGGATGCTGGTGTGGATATCGATGATCGTGTACAACTCGGGTGTGGTGGATTACTTCATCTCCGGCGGGGAGAAGGGGGAGGGGGAGGCGGGGGTGCGGCGGGCGCGGCCGGCGCGGCAGGCGGTGCTGGTGGCCTTCAACAACAGCGAGCTGGTGTTCTCGCCGCTCCCGCGCGCGGGCGAGGCGCGCGCGCCCGTCGACGCCAACGACACCATCATGCTGAAGCACTCGCCACACTCTCGGCCGTGGTCCAGGTAACTATCACCTCATTATTCTTCATCTCTGTAAAATGGCAATGCCAGATTTTGTATGGAAGGTGGCGTCTTTTTTTTTCGCGCGGCCATCGACCAAACTTTGTTTTTTGATTACAAAATAGTGTAATAAACCGAACTTACCATGACATGTATACCTCTAAACTCAGTCTGAACTGAATTGCGAGCGTTAGAAGTTTGATGATTTACTTTCATAGGTACTTACTAGATTTGCTTTTTGCGCGCAAGTTTTGTAAGAAATTGCAACAAAATATTCCGCTATTTTTTTATTGCGCTGATTCTAGTCCACACTGATGTCTGGAGCCTTTAATGGATGGTATTGTTTGTTTACACATACAATGTCACTATTTTGATGCAATTTCATACAAAACTTGCGCGCAAAAAGCAAATCTAGTATGTAAAATCATCAAACTTCTAATGCTCGTAACTCAGTTTAGACTGAGTTTAGAGGTATACATGTAATATTAAGTTTGGTTTATTACACTATTTTGTAATCAAAAAACAAGGTTTGGTCGATGGCCGCGCGAAAAAAAAAGACACCAATTTCCGGCATTGTCTTTTACACAGTGATAAGGTTCATTGGGGGAGGCCTATGTTCAGCAGTGGACGTCTTAAGGCTGAAATGATGATGATGATAGGGTTAATTTTCAGTTGATGTCTCAATGTTTAAAATACCTTCTGCGCAACTTTTCCCTAGCGAATCTACAAAAGACTTCTATTGCGTTTCGATAATTGTAAACGTTTACCTAACGACAACTCAAACAAAAACACATTATGCCGTTTAGGCTACAGAGCGCACCTTCTGGCTTGGGTTAAAAGCAGTAGTATCATAGTGTCATGTGATTGTTAGCAATTTGTGTGGCACAAATTACTAATAGTCCCATTAGCCCGTCGTGTTAAGCTAAATAAGCTTGTGTTACGAGTGGGCTCACCACAATAGTCGAGCGGCGGTGGGATTCGAACCCGCGTTCCTCGGATCTCGAGTCGGCCAGTCCGACCCATTCATTGGCTGTCGTTGCAATATAAAAAATATTGTCGGCAGAGTGTCCCCATACCACTGGTCGGGCATCCTGTCTCAGTACAACGAGTCGGTAGTATCATAGTTNTAATCACTTTCCAAATTAACGGCATCTACACGCGACAAAGCATCAGCCACTACGTTTTCCTCCCCTTTCACATGCACAACATCAGTTGTGAACTGTGAAATGAAGGACAGTTGGTTTAATTGCACAGGGGGTAACTTTTCACGCCGCTGTGCAAATGCGTAGATGAGTGGCTTATGGTCTGTGTAAATTGTTACGTGTTGTGTCTCTAACACGTGTCGAAAGTGTTGAACCGCTTCATAAACAGCTAGCAATTCTCTATAATAGGCCGGCCACTCACTTTGTCGGGCAGTGAGCTTTTTGCTAAAGAAAGCTAAAGGCTGCCACGTACCGTGAACCTGCTGTTGGAGACAAGCTCCCACCTGTACAGATGACGCATCAGTAAACAGGCCTAAACGAGCATTGCAAACCGGATACACAAGCAATGTTGCGTTCTGCAG